GAAATAAAAAGGCTTTAATTGTTCAGATTAGTCCGATGCATACAGATTTGTTTCGTCTGCTGTCACCAGACTATCTTCTTGTCCTATTCGGACAAATAGAAAAAAAAAGAAAAGTATTACTGGATTTTTTGATTAGCCTTATACAGCACAGATGGTCTATCATTGTTTTTAGTCATCAATAATCTGATGTGATAACCTCATTAATGTTTGTTTCAAGTCTATTTTTGTTGTTGTTTTTCTGTCGGCTACAAATAACATAGATGACGGCAAAAATTTTTTTTTCTGCTAAGCTCCTGACCAAATTTTACTCTTTGTTCTGTGTCAACAGATACGTCGAGCACTAAACAAGCTGTATTTTTGGTTACAATTTTGCGGCACTCACTGATCGACACCAGTTATAAGGCTTATCCCTATAGAATATGCTCAACGTTAAATTCTGAACTATTGTTGTTAGTTTGATTATTGTTGTGAGAAAAAAAAAAAAAGAAGAGGAAAAATTTTTATCTTTAAAGTCTATTTATTGGTTTATTTTGTTAGTTATTTTTTTTGTTTTAAACTAAGCTGGAAAAAAAAAAAAAAACTCTTTAATCTTCAAATTCTGTTTGTTCATTTTTTTTGCATCTTTTTTTTTTTCTTCTGCAAAAAATACACTTTATTTTTCTGCAGTTTTTTTTTTGCTCTATTATTGTTCCTCTTTTATACTTACATATGTATATCATTTAATGATAAGATGAAAAATTTTAACTACTTTTTGTCGCCGATAAGAGATAGTTTTTCAAAAAAACTTTTTTGTTAACCCAAATTGAATTTGAGTAATACTGTTTATGGAAACAGTAATAGTGCTGCAGGTTTAGGAAATGGTTACCCTTAAATACTATCAAATAAAGTGCCACATCAAAGGTTGCAGTAATCTAATTTTTTTTTTTCTTCTTCTTTTTCATATGCTCTTTTTCGTCTTTTACACTATTGTAAATTCTTAAATGCTGTTTTGATACAGTGATTCAATAGCAGTAATAATAATAATAATAATGATATTAATAATAATAATAAT